GGAGCTAAGAGGCTGCTCCGCTGCGGTGTGAAGAGGAAAACCCGGTGCTTTTCAAGCTCCAGCTCCGAACTGGCCCTGAAACACTGTTGGTGTGAATGAGGTAAAAGTGTGGACTATTAGCTGAGGTGCCAGTTTGGCATTGCCAATGTTTTCTTGAGCAAGGCACTGAACCCCTTCCTGCTCCCTTGTGATAAAGATGGCAGTTCTGATATCTCTCCGTTAAAATGCATGTGTTTTATGCATGTGTGCAGGGCCGCCCCTCCCTACAGGCCAATCACGCAGGCTGCATGGGGCCCCGCCTTGCGCAGGGGGCCCCGCCCAGAGGGCCTCAGCTGCTTTGCGCAGTTCTCCGCGCACCCCCGGCTGACACGCGAGAGTGAGAGGTGACAAGGGGAGCACGTCTGTAACCCGACACCGTTGCAATGAATCGACATCTGACCAATAACGGCTTTGATACGGCCACTAGTGCAGGTGAAGAGATGTCGGTGAAAAGACAGTAGGCTTGTTTGAGACGCGTTGCGGCTCGCCTCGAAAGTAGACGAGAATAGCCGATCGCAGCTGGGGGAGGTCTCAAAAAGCTCACCTGAAGTCGGACAGCTCGGAGTCGGCTTCGTCTTCTTCTTCTTCTCTCGGTTATTTGACGGATTGCAAACAACTTTAAGGTGCATACCGCCACCTCCGGAGTCGGCTTGACTCGGTTTACATTTATAAAGAATGCACACATGTGTTTAATCGTTAATGTCAGATATGTACTAAGTAAATACATTTGTTCCTGCTCAAGATTAGATTCTACTTCATTGGTATTGCACATATTACAGGTACTGAGACAACAAAATGCAGTTTAGCTTCTAGCCAGGTGCAACAAGCAATAAAGTGAAAAGTAATGTACACAATAGACAGAATAAAATATAGAATGAATTGAATGATGAATAAACAGTGAGGGGTATGAATACACTAGATATCAGCCTGTGAGCAGTATGAACAGTGTGTATGAATATGCTAAGATATATAAAGTATGAAAACGGTAAGCAGTGCAAGTATAGTATAAAAATATAGATATTAATTTCATGATGATAAACATTGTGGAACAATGATGAACAATTTGAATGGAAGTGGCGTCGTAAAACTGACACAAAACAACAACAAACTTTTGCCGAGCCAATTGGAGAGTTTCATCAGCAGCACGTGGAAAAAACCACCAATGAGCGCTTAGCTCGAGATACCAGCGAGTCGTTTCCCATCAAGCATTTCGCTTCCGCAGCCCGTGGAGAGGAACTGCGCCGCCTCGCCGCGCCTCGCTCTCAAGGCTGCGGGCGTCTTTGTCCCGCGAGATTTCAACGTCTCATGTAGGCGAGCCTCCAGAGCAAGTCGGACAAAAATGACTAACCATCATGCAACGCACGAGCAAGACGTTGATCAAAATTGCGCAGGTCTGCGCAGGTCTCGCTTGTCTCAAACAAGCCTAGTTTCAGTCCGGCGCAAGCTAGAGGGGAAACAAACAAAACTTGAAGAAACTAGAGCATCACTCGAAGGTGGGTTATTGTCAAATGTACAACTTGCGAATGTTGTATAAGTCAAATTGCCAATTGCCATATTAAAACAGTAGCTGCAATTCACGACATGAAGAAGGCAGTCTCTGCATAGCATATAGGCCATGGGTCGGCAACAGGCGGCCCGCGGGCCATTGTTGGCCCGCCAGCAATAATATTTGGCCCGTAATTTTGAGAATCAAAAATAAAATATATATATATTTTTTTAAATTAAATTATTTATTTTGTTACAACATAGGACCAGAGAGTCGCACACATGGCAAATGTGTGGTTGTGGGTAACCAGGTCAATTAAAGTACTTATTTAACTATTAAATACATTGAGTTTGAGTAAAATACTTGGTTACTGATTAATTTAGGTTATAATATATTAAATTGCAAAGCAAAACATGCTGTAATTGATTTATTTTGTCCTTTGATATTTTTTAAAGGTTTTCAACCTGAAAGAATCCTAATGTGTCCTTGAAAAGTTGAAATAAAGAAAAGGAAAAAGGATTCTCTGTTGCCCCTCAAGCCTCTCAAATGTGGGCAAACACTCAAATAAATGCCAAAAACCCAGAGAACTAATCAGAATATGTTAAATACAGTAACACTGCTACCTAGTTAATAACTCTACTTTACTCAGTGGAGGCTCGTCCATCGAGGAAAGGGAGGACCATCCTCCCTAAAATCTCAGAGAAAAATCAACTTTGAAGAGAACAATAACTACACCTCAATTTAAAAGATAAGTCTGTTAAAATACAGATAATAGCCCTGGCTTTGGGACTGAAATGGGGCTAGAGAGGACGAGCCTCCCTTTGGGCGGGTCTAGCCAGAGGCTCTGGATTGGGCGCCTATTGAACCAATCAGCGGATCTGACTGCGCATCAGAGTGTTGATGGGGACGGTTATCAGCGATATCAGCGTTCTTTCTGAACCGAGGAACAGGGGCGCTGCGCCCTCTTACCAAAATCAATTCCTTGAATTAGGCTTTGATTATGTTCTGGCCCGCCATCTTGTGGCTCAGCAAAAAATTGGCCCAAGGCCAAACTTACTTGCCTACCCCTGATATAGGCTAATGGAGATGCAGTTATTTCCAGCATTCTTTATTTACCATTCATTCAAGTATGTGATGCCTTTTATCTGCTAATGTACAGGAGGAAGAGTGATAAACTGTCTGTCTAGTTGGCTTACATAACAGTTAAAGTTTACAGCCTAAAAACATGGAGCATTTTTTCCCCTTTTATTCATTTTTATGTCAATTTGCACATTTCATGGTGATGCTCAGCCTCCCCTTAACTCCTAACAGTCATCATCATGGTGATGCTCAGCCTCTCCCCTTAACTGCTAACAGTCATCATCATGGTGATGCTCAGCCTCTCCCCTTAACTCCTAACAGTCATCATCATGGTGATGCTCAGCCTCCCCTTAACTCCTAACAGTCATCATCATGGTGATGCTCAGCCTCTCCCCTTAACTGCTAACAGTCATCATCATGGTGATGCTCAGCCTCTCCCCTTAACTCCTAACAGTCATCATCATGTCAACCACAACACAGAGAAATACTGATAGGAATGTGTGTGTAGTTGTTGATACATTGCTGACAGAGGGAACTACATTTGAATACAGATTTAAGAAATATCAGTTTTTGAGCATGTCATAAGCATGTTTTGTCTTGACTATACAACTATATTATAATAAAATAATATAGTATTTATATTATTGAATTGATTATGATTATTATTATTAGAAGTTGTTTATTTGCATTAATTATATTTTAATCTTTTTGAGGCTAGTATTTGGCAGGAAATGCAGACGTATTCACCTGTAAACGCATACTGAACGACATACATGCACAACCATTTACCTCACTGCATAAAAAAGTGTTGATAATAATAATAAACAGGAATTATATTTGCAAAGTAGCCTACTTTGTTTCCAAAAAAAAATGTTTTCACTCCTGTCGGTTGGGGGGGGGGGGGGGGCCTCATCTCACAATGTCGCTTGGGGCCCCAAGTTGGCCAGGGGCGGCCCTGCATGTGTGTTTTCAATGGTGTGCATTTGTACTATGAAATGGATGGACTAACGGAGTGGATCACTGAATGTTCCCTATAGGGATTGATACAGTGGATTCTTCTTATACCACACCCATGCATTTACAAAGACGTAGCTTTTTAGAATGTCATATTTATTTTATATTATTATCTGACATAAGATACCTATGTTAATAATTGTAGCTCCATCCAATGTCTGCATTCATTTAATTGAATTGTTGGAAATGTTTTGAAGATTAAAAGATCTAAATATGTAGGTTTGATAGTGAGAAGTTGATTCACCCTTTTTTTTGTGGTCATATCTGAGGTTTTGTTGGATATTGCTGCTCAGCTCTCCCTTCACACAGTTGGGGTTTGCCTTTCAAACAAAATATGTTGAAGTTATTAACTAGATTTTGAACTGCTCTACAAGACAGGGCGTTATGGATCACTTATACAATTAGGCAAGTTTATTTAAGGCAAGGCAATTCAAGTGCTTTACAAAAATGAGAAGCATTAAAGTCAATTAGTTAAATGACCACAAACAATTTGCCCTACAATGCTCCCTTGTTGGTAACCCTGTTGGACAGAGCATCCTGTCCTCATCATGGCTTTGTTCAGAGTTATGCCATCATTTGAGGCTTCTTCACTATGAGGAAACGACTTTAGAGATACATGCTGTGAGTAACCAATATTCTTCAGTAAGAGCACATCATTAATACACATTGAAGACAAAGAGGATACATTCCTCTTGTACAGACTGTTTGACACTCCGTATGGTGATTGGGTCTTATCAGCAGGAAATCAAATCTACAAAGATAGCTTCTTGCATTCTCGGACATCTTTATTTCTGCGCAAAGTTTTCTCACTGGGTTATTAAACAATGTCCCCCACAAGACTGCATTTGCTAACTCTGTTTCTTCTCTTCTAAGGTGACGTTGTTCTGACTTACACAATACACAAAAACATGTAATTGATATTTATTTGCATTGCATTTGGTATCAAGGTATTCCAAAAGTAAACTATAATAATCAGGTAATATGACTTTAATGATATGATACTTAGACGAGGTTACTGAATATATTTTTAAAGATGTAATTGTAAAGAAATACATTTTAAAGTAACCCCCCCCCAAACCTGTACACACAAATATATTGAGATGTATAGGCTATATAGAAATAATATTAACAATTGAATTGTTGTTTCATTATAGACATGAACAATCACCAATTGAGCTATTTCTTACGAGGGCCCGGCAACGTTTTTTCTAAAGAACAGCCTATCTTTTACATCAAATACACAGATGTAACATTAACACAAAAGTCAATTTAGCAAAATAATAAAAATCTGGGTGCCTCGTGTTGGATGACGTCACACCACGTCCGCCTGCCCTTTTCTCTTCGTGCGCGAGCTCGACAGTCCAAAGTATAAAGTAGCGCGAGCGCATTAACGGGAAAAAAAGTATAGTCGACAGAGAGGAGCTCACACACTCACACACACAAACACACACACACACACACGCACACGCACACACGCACACTCTCATGCATGCAGACCAGACACGTATCTGCTTCCACAGAGGAACACCGGCCGATGTGTGAACACAAGCTTTACAACTTAATTAAGGAGTAAATATCCGAAAATGGAGCGGGAGCTATGGATTTAACGCGAAGGGGACTTGAAATGGGCGGTCTGATGCTGCTGCTGTGGAGCTGCCTGCTGTTGGCGGTTGACGGTACGTTGACTTATTGTTCACAACATGGATCCTCAGGGAACAAGGACAATTGATAAGAACATAGTAGTAAACTCAACATGCAGCCCTGAGTTGTCTGTGTGTGCTCCGCTCCCTGTAATGGTCCCCACAATGAGACGAACTCGCTGTGATTCCTTGTCTGGAAGTTGAGGTTTTTATGTCCCAAGGGTACAACAACACAATGAAAGTGTCTGAACTGTGCGTCGGTGCGTGCGGCACACTGGAGGATAACCCCGGTGTAACTAAAGTGTTCCTCATGCTTTGTACAACATTTGTAGATACACACTTAATGTGTCGGGGCATAAATGAAGTTTGGAGGCAGCCTGGGCTATTTTCTCGGGCCTCGGCAGCTCCAGCCATTCCTGCTCGGTGTCGGGTGTCACGCAGACGTTCTGCTTTGATAGGGGAAAAGAAGCCGGAATGTCTTATTGGCAAAGAAAAGGCTGCTGGACTCGCTACATATGTCCTCCTTTTGGGTCTAGGTCTTTATAAGCCTTACTTTCTCCACTGTCGGGTTTGTGGTCCTAATATTTAATCTCAAAGTGCCCAGCCAGAGGCGGGGCTTAGCTTCCTCTCTTATGGATGCGAGGCTTTTCATCAAGTCTTAAGGCTAGAATCAGAATTTTGAGGGACTTGTACTTTACTTGACTATTTTAATCGTTTCCTACTTTATACTTCTACCTCACTACAATTCAGAGGTATATCGTGTACTTAAACTTCACTACAGTAATGTAATACCTTTAGTTACTTTAGAAGAAGTACTTGTATAAAAGTAGAGGTGCCAGAGTGTAAGAATACTCTGTTAAGTCCTGCATTCAAAAGGTTTCTCAAGTAAAAGTACAACAGTATTACCATCAAAATATACTTAAAGTAACAACATTACATGTACTCTTTATGCAGATTGGCCCTTTTCAGAATAATATATGATATGTTTTATAATGATTGATCATGAAAGTGTTCTCAAAGCTGGTAAAGGTGCAGCTAGTTTGAATGACTTTGTAGACTGCAGGGTAGCTGGTGGATTGACCTCCTAATTGTAGGGCGAGTAGTTTCCAATGCTATTCCCTCAGTTAACTGTCAGCATTGTATCAGTGTGAAGTCAGTCTTCTTCATCGTGCACATCAGTAGTCTGATGAAACATCAGTTTGACGCCACTCATATCTGTAATATGCAAAGCATTTTACAGAGTCTGCTGGCTGAGTATTCTATTCAATGTATTTTACTCACAAACAGTATACAAATATAAGTACAATCATAAGCCATAGGGAAGATATTTGAAGTGGGACACCCCAATAAGTGATATGAAGCTTTAGAAAAGCAATACAAAGTACAAATGTATAATAGAGAAACATTACTAGCTAAAAAAAATACCTAACAAAACTTATAACCCAAAAAATGTAAGTTCGACCTTGTTAATTATGGTGTGTGTAAATTATTTGAAAAAAACTAACAAAGGAAATGTATAGTGTGCCCACGTGAGCTGCTGTAGCACCCAAACACACATGAAGACATTTGTATAGAAAGAAACACTCTAAGACATAATCAATACACACATCACTTTCTGTCAGGGGTGTACCAACACCGTAGGCCTGGGTGATGGGTTCTCATTTTTAAAAGGAACAATTGGAAAAGTCCTTTCTCCTTTTCATAGCCTTTGCCATTAGATGAGGAATCTCAGTTTTCTGCAGACACAAGTGGGAAAACTGCATCGTACTGAAAGTTGTCACTGAATGCATGCTCAGTTTCTTAAAGTTGTTCATTTAGATGGCTGCTTTTGCTTTTATTTTGAGGATATTTGTGTTTTTATCATTTTGCATAATATCCTACAGAAAGTGACTGCCATATTTTCCCTCTATTGTTAAACATGTTTTGAATAAGAACATCACGTCCAATGATGAAAGGCATGTATCACACTTCTGATGTTACTCACTGAATAACAGTATTATAGCCGGTAGGGTATCGTTAAGGTTTTAACGGTACTACTACTTTGATCGATACCGCTTATCGGTCCGGTCCTTTAACGGTTCTCTCATCGGTTCTTTTGAAAAGGTAAACTAACTAAACAAATTGTGAACAAAACTAACATTGCTTTTTATTTAAATAAAATAAATAATATTTCACATCAAAAGAAACAACAATGTTTTAACAAATCGTATTAAATAATCTGATGACAGAATTGTAAACAGAATAGCTGAAACTTTAACAAAATAAAGAGTAACTCTGTTTCCTTTAATCATTAATAACCCATGTTTGTATCATTGAGTTAACTCTGTGTGTTGCTGCTAGCATACATAACACCTGACGTGGAAACGTTACTCGTGGATGGGGCTACAGAGCTGCTAGAAAGACGGTCGAACCCGGTGCATTCCTCCGTCTGAATGTGGAGCACTTTTGATAAATGTTTAGACAAATTGCTCGTGTTACCGCACGATATTGGTTTTTTGAAACCGATACCGATAACTTCCTGCTTCTCAAGACCAATACCGATAACCGATAATAATATAATATATATATATTAGGGGTGTAACGGTTCACAAACATTTCGGTTCGGTACGTACCTCGGTTTTTAGGTCTCGGTTCGGTACGTTTTTGGTACAGCAGAAAAAATTATCACAAAACATAACATATTTCTTTAAAATGATTATTAAACTGTGAATAATGTATTCACTCAAATAAATACAAAATATAATAAAATAAACATTAAGGTGCAGCATTTCGATGAACTGAAATAATCTGTATTTGAACTGTACTGTACTAGCACCTAAGCAGCCAGTTTGACATTAGGACTTGCTTGTCATTGTATTTTCATGTTTTTTTAAAGAACAATTAACTTGTCCACATTGCTTGCTGAAAGGGCAGATCTGCTGGCACTAACAATGTCTCCTGCTGTGGAGAACACCCTCTCGCTAGGGACAGAGGTAGCAGATACAGCCAGGTAGCGCTTTGCTAACATGGCAACATAAGGATATTTGGCGTCTGTAATAGCTTTGGCTCGGTCTGAACTCTCTGCGAGTGGTGGAGGCTTACATGCTAGCGGGAGTTGGGTTTGCACTTCAGTCTTTTTTCTTTTGGTACCGGTGATATTCACGTTCGGGTGATGCCTTTTCAAGAGTGTGCAAGTTTGATGTATTGCAAGCCGCGTAACCAATGTTAGTTGAACAATGCCGACAAACAGCTTTGGTTCGGTCCACCTGTCTTTGTCCGTCATCCTTGTACGTAACTGCGAAACCAAAATGTTCCCAAACCGGAGACTTCAATGATGCTGGAGGATTTTCAGCTCAACTTTATCTGCGTTCGCCATTTCGACAGTTCCTCAAATTACTGACTACATTTGAACGCATCCCTGTGACCAGCTCTCATAGTATGCCTCTCGTCCAATGAAATGACTTGCTCGCTCTATGACGCGTTGAACCCAATGTGAGCAAATTACTCTGAATGCTGCGACGCAGCACCTGAGATTACTTCCAAGAAGATGTTCACGTTCTCAATTTTTTACGTTTAACGTTATATTCGTTCGGTACACTTCGGTACACACGTGTACCGAACCGAAGGGCCCGTACCGAATAATTTCGGTACGGGTACGTGTACCGTTACACCCCTAATATATATATATTAAATGTACCTGTAGTTTTTGCACACCTGGTTAAATGATGAACTAGCCGGCTGAATCCTTTATCTTCGACGAGGGAGAAGGGCTGGTCGTCAAGCGCCATCATTTCTATGATGAAGTTAGAGATCGTTTTAGCCCTGGGGTCGTCTCTGGCAATCTTCTTGCCTTTTTCAAAAGCCTCGTCGATAGGTAAAAGCCCCGGTGCCTTTGCAGCTGGCTTTGGATTCACCGCTAGTTTAGCAGCGCAGGCGTCTTCGTACGCTTTTAACACACCATCGTAGCGATGGCGATGTTTCAGGTGACTAATCAGGTTGGAAGTATTATAGCTCGTTGCCTTTTTCCCTCCTCGTGGAACTTCTGCATTTGTTAATACAAATAGCAAGCGAACTATCTAACTCTGAAACTTTGAAATAGTCCCATACCACCGACGACATGTTTGTTTACTGTCCTGGCTTCACGGCCGCACACCATTTACGTCACAGCCAGGCATGAGTTAGGGAGCGCTGGATTTGTGAAAAACTCCCCTCTTCCTAAACCACTAATACCACAGTACTGGCAAAACGGGAGGAGCCGAGTGAAAAACAAGCGCCCCTCATCCCAATCCACCCACACCGCAGTATGTTTTTCTTTTTTTTTACCCAAAAAATATATTGTATACTATCGGGGCTATTAATACTTTTATCGGGTTTATCGGGATGACGTCATAATTCCTAATATCGGACCGATAATTATCGGGCCGATAATTATCGTGCACCACTAGTTACCGCCCTTACATGATAAACTCTTATTGCACTTTTGGCAACGAGCATTGTCCACATCGAGACGGGTAAAGTTTAACTAGGAATGCTCCGATCGATATCGGCCGATACTCACTCTCTGCCGATCGATCGGTGCTCTCTAAAAATGCCGATCGCATGACGTAAAATGATGACGTAAAATACATGACCCTTTTCTCTGTGCGCGGCAAAACAAGCTCGCCAAAATGGCTTCACCAGTCTGGCAGTATTTTAAGGTGTCCGAAAAAGACAATAAAATAGCGGTATGCAACGTTACTGGATCAGTGAGCTGCATGAGACGAGGCTGTCAGGAGAGAGAGGGAAATATTTCTCCCGTGTTATTATCCAAGGTGAATGTAAACTTGAATAATGTACTTCATCTGAATGTAATAATTATGTTGGTTGTTGTTTGTGGAAGCGCCAGTGAATGAGCCCCATTAACTGAGTTTTAAACATCACTTTAAGTGGAAGATCCCCATAGGCCCCGCCCACTCGATCAGATCGGTATCGGCCGATATTGATTTCGGCGATCGGCCCCAAAATTGGCGATCGGAGCATCCATTAACCACACCTCGGAGCGCTTCTCTCCGCCGTGT